GTTTAAATTTAGGGTTAGGGCTAAGGTTAGGGGTGGGGTTAGGGTTAGGGTTAGGGGTTAGGTGTTACTGTTAGGGGTTAGGATTGGGGGTTGGGTTAGGGTTAGGGGTAAGTGTTAGCGGTGGGGTTAGGGATAGTTAGGGTTAGTGTTAGGGGTGGGGATGAATAGGGTTAGGGTTACAAATAACAGAAAAGTTACAAAACATTGAGTGCAAACACAAAGCAGTAACAGTAACAGTAAAAAAATAATAAAGAAAAGATTAAAATAAAAAACAAGTAGCGCTAAAATGACATTGTAGCTGTTCAGAGAGGGACTCTCATTTACTGTATTAGGCCATTCCGTTCCCATGCTGTTCGAACAAAATATTTGAAAGAATAGTTTTAGCAGAATGGATAGTCAATTTCAAAGTGAGATTATTTGCCTACTCTAAATGTCATTCTTTATATGAATTTGTCTAAATATTCATTCACCATTTTATTGAAAGAAAAGATTGCTATAAACAAACTGAGTAGCTATGGTCGCGCTATAATCGATAATGTATAAAGTATATGTAATTGCAATTTTTTTCCTTTACAGCCAAACTTCAAACGACTAAGAAAACGTACTAACTGAACATTCTGAACCCTCTCTGAACACTCAATGTTAAAATTTATATTACATGTGTACAGCTGAAGCAAAACAGCTACATCGGCTCTCACACTCTCTGGCACCATTGAGTTGAATCCTGGATTTGCAGTCCGAGAGTGCCAGCATTACTGACCTCAGATTCTAATAATTCAAGGTTCATAACTTTCTGATCATGTTGACACCATCAACATAAAAACTGAATACACGATGCAGTTACAGAAATATGAATGAAAAATGAACGAAATGCTGGATACTGTTTTTGCAGAAATAAAGGTCGCTGAATTATTGACATCTGGTCAATGCTGAAAGGATGACCAGGTGCCTACGTGGCCTTTTCTTTTCTTTCCGTTTCTTTGGAGCGATCGCCATTTACAATTTCCCAGGGCCGGATGTAGGATTTTCCCAAAAGGAAGGGGAGTGAACTAAATCAGTAATGGCAAATGCCCGTGACGTGGGGTCCGGAGCCATTTGTATTCTAGGCGATCTGTGTGCAATTTCAGGCAATACGACCCTCCTCCTTTTCCTCTCCCTCCCTTGTCAAGTTTTTTCTTCTTCATTTACTTATTTCTATATTTGTAGTGAAAAAGGGGTGCCGCGCGCCCCCCTCGTCCCTGCTTCCATGGTTAGCAATATTGCTAACGACACTTTGGGCGTCCTTAATATGCACCTTAAAAGGAGTTTACTCTTTTCGATCATTGGACATGAATTTTGCGAAAATCGAACATACCGTTCTTGCGCAGTACGCATTTTTCGGGTCAGCCAAAAATGTATACTTTCTCCCCTGCGGTGCTCATCAGTGTACCATCCGTGACGCAGGCTGGCACACCTTGAACTTCAAATGACAGTAACGACAAAAACATGCGTGATTGAGCACAAACTTCTCATTAATTTTGTAATGATAAGGCGTGTTTTACATGCATGTCAAGTTTCCAAAATATCGAGTAAAGCACAGCCAAATGGGGGGGGGGTTCCGCCATCCCGGCTGTGAAATGGGCTAAAAATGGTGTGTGATCCTGTTCCGAGAACATTGTTCTTGAGTCGTATTCCCGCCGTTCGAGCGAGGGAACAAGAAACCCGTGTCAAGGCGGCCGCCAGAACTCGACTTAAAAGGCTATCAAATGAGGGCGCCCTATAAGGGTGATGTGAGCTGCGCTGGCCGCGCGCCGGCGAGCTGAGCAACCTGAGCGCAGCTAGCTAGCTAGCTAGCGCGTAGTAGTACAGTGCGTACCGTACTTGTTGGAGGGATGGCTGACAGGGGAAGAGCAACGTAAGTTCAACTTGATTCATGTCTAGGATAGGCCTAGCCTGCAGTGCGTGAAAATTGCCAACTCGAGGATAACTTCTCATGATTTGTGTCCTAGCAATTTTCTCTGTCACCCGTTCTGAATCGTAGGGCACGAGACTGCCGTACATGCCATTGAATCTACACGTAACCTGCTTCAACAACAGTATGATCCCCATGTTGCTTTTACTTAGTAGAGGTAGAACTATATACAAACTTCCAAAAACATATTTTGGCTGTTTTAATTGTGCCAACTTACGCTTCCACCACATTTATTTGTGCAACCAAATTTCATACATGCCTTCTTGGTGAAGTTAGAATGTCAGATGGGAACCTGGGGGAGGTTTATTTGCCCTATAATCCTCATTAAAATGGTGAAATTCTTGAGCATTTTGCCCATCCTTACAGAAAATCACCAGCATGAGTACATGCAACTGTCAGCTGTGTGATAGCTTGACCAGTCGAAACACAGCTTCCATCTTTTCCCGTCACCCACAGATGAAAGCTGCACTATGATTGGTCCAATTAGCTTCCATTCCAGTGACCACACAGTGTCACAGGTCAGCTTTCATTTGGATGGGGTCAGGAAAACAAAAGGAAAAAATAGGAGCTGTATTGGGAATGCGAATGGTTAAGCGATCATACAGTTGACAGTCATTGAGAGTACATGCTGCTGATTTTCTGGAGTGTGAGCAAAGTGCTCAAGAATTTCACCATTTAATGAATAGGGTAAGTGTGGGTATACCCGATCGGGGGGGGGGAACCCGATCAGCCGTGATTTTTTTTCATATAGAATCATGGCTGATATAACAACACTTACCCTAAGTAATGAATAAACCTCCCCATCTTACAATCTAACTTCACCAAGAAGGCATGTATGAAAATACTGGGGTTTTTTTCAGACAAGTCCCTCAGGTTTGTGCGCAGGGGCGTCAACTTATGTCCATAATGTGGAACCTTTTCCACGTCAAATTTAGCAGGGAACATACACAAGCACTAACTTAGAAAACAGAATTTTTCAGACCATTGTCATAGGGTATGTGCACAGAGTGTCAAGTGATGTCCATGCAACTTTTTCCTCATCAGGGGCTGTTCAGCTGATGAACCATGGACGTATGAACCGACAAGATGGTTACATGTACATTGCAAACCATACAAGTTATTGAGGGTCCCTGTGAATGTAACTGTGATAATGATGTCTTCATTCAGTCCTTGCAAATGCACCATGGTGCCTTGAGCATTACTTCATGTAATGTGTGTGTACTGTAAATTTTCATTTTGCCATTTTCAGGGCATTATGGGGAGAATTGTGATGTAATTTTAAGCATTAACCCTCCTATGCTGAAGTCACTCTTTCGGTCACTTGGTAAACACCTCAAAGAAGCACAGCTGTGTCATGTTATGCACTGCACCAACATGCAAGAGAGTGACCTTGGGCACTTGTGCATATTTGTGCTGTAAAACTAAAGGAGGGTTAATCATTAGCTTTTTCAGCAATGACATTTTACCAAAATCTTTTCTGGCTATTTTGCTGTCGGTCAAGTTTTGTTTTCTAAATGTTGGATCAGTTGGGATTGAGTTGAATTTTGTTGTGATCAGTTAAGTGCACTTTTAAAAGTATTATTTAGACCAGTCTAGTTGGGATTTGGCTTGTAGTAGCATCTTAGCTTGTGATTTCTGGTCCATTACAGCTGGAAGAGTGACGTTTTCATGGTAACACATCTCAAGCAAACATGATGCAGGGACTGACCATCAGAACCTGGAATCGGCTTCTTGTTGCCGCCGTGCTGGTCCTCTTTGCTCTGAATTTATGGCTGGTGAGGACGCTTCTGAATGGTACATCAGGTTGGTGAGGATTCCTTTGCTCTTTTAAGCACAAGACTTGCCTTTGTCATTTGTTACATTACGTGAAAAGCTGTTTAAGGACTGTTCCAAATCCTCCCTGACAGAAAAGCAAAATTTGATAATTTCTGGTCAAACTGTGAATGTGTCATTTGTGCACTTAGATTCAAGGTGCCTGTCGGAATTGTTGCTAATGTGCAAACTGTGGTTGCAATCTTGAGAAATTTCCAAGGAAAAAATTGCCTTCATAGCAATGCATTAATAAACAAAAAGGCGCTTTTAGCAAAAATCTTGGCTGTTTAAAATTTGCCAGTGGAACCCAGTATGTGTCATACATGTATGTTTCAGTCAGTTAAATTAAATTTGACGAGGCAGAGTGAAAAATTAATTAGTTTCTCATGCCAGTCCACTTTGTTTTCCCTGTCAACCATTTGTTTGGTTTTAGGTTTTATTTTGATTCAGAAAGTAATTTTTATGATTGGTAGTTCCTTTGAAAATATATACACTATACATATAGCTAAGAACCAAAGTTCGAAACTTGTACTCAGATTGCAGAACTACTAGTGAGTGGCTTCAGGAAATCCATCGGCCATCTTTGAAGATATCTGCCATCTTGAAAACAAGGAAAAAAGACCTGTGACCTCTTTTCAAAATATCGAATTAGACATATTTTCCTGGCCTAAGTATCATTTGACAGTGTTCATCACTTGTTCCTTTGTGTCAGATGTTCAGTTACTGGAAAGGACAGATACTTTCAGAAATGCGCACGCTAAAGAGCCGGCATATCAGCAGGTATGTTTCTGTTGGGCGTCTTAGTAATGCGTGCAAGCCGGAAGGAAAAAAAACACATGGAACTGTGAAATGAAATGTTGCTTTTCCAAACAATATATTGGGGGAAAAATTACCATTGGACTAATCGGGGCTCTTTAATTGCTTATTGTGTATGTGGGTCTATCCAGCGACGTAGCGAGTGGGGGGGTGTGGGGGATGTTGCACCCCCCCAATAATTCTTTTCAGTCGGCAAATAAAGGGTCAATCAGCAAATGAAACTGAAATTGACGTCATGAATTATTGACGTACATCGACCAGTCAGCAAACTGACCCTGGCACACTCCCCCCAAAGAAAATGCTACGCCGCTGGGTCTGTTGTTTCCAATGATGACGCTGCCCCTAATGTAGTACTGATCTCGGCTGCCTCTACCTCGTCATACGTGTGCTCACTGATGACTTCTTAGTCCACTCAGAGAGGCGAAGCTGCAATTACAGGTATTGCACATGTGGTCACCACCCGGCAATGCAGCAAATGCGACGAATGAGCGTCAAAGATTGCACCTTGCAAAGTGATGCTGGTATACCACATGACACGTGTCACAAAGTAGCATGTAGTACACTACATGTGCATTCATAGATGGAAAGTATATGTACACATGTTTATCATGATGCTGCCTTTTTTATCTTACCCCAATATACCAAATGACAAAAGTGATGCAACTTTACATGTTGTTAAAAGGAAACAGACTATTTTTCCTTCCAGCCTCAATTTGGTTACTCTGCTTTCAATGGTAGAAAAACAAAATGGCTGCCCCATGATAAAGGTCTGTATGCTTCAGGGTCACACCCGGTCTCATAACAAATGCTCCATCAATTATTTTGGCATGCAGTGGCTTTGTTTTGGGATGCAAAAAAAGTCACAGCATCTCCAGGTTGTATGGCCAACTGAGGGCACAGTGAAAGAGAAGGGAAGGTGTTGGGTATGCAGAAATATACATGTACCTGTGTTTAATTCAAATGCCTGTGGCTGAAAGAAATACATGATTCTATGGAAATTTGTGCAGCCACTATTCCAAGGCTTCCACATCCGCCTGTGCTGCTTGTAGTCACAGCCATAACTTTTCGACATTTCCTCCATGTGTGAGTTATTTCTTAAGGGCTACTTATGGCTTGTCTTTTACTTCATTTGTCTTGCAGGCTCAGTTGTCTACAGACTCCAAGCCACAGCTGTGTTCCAGTTCCACGCACATTGACAGGAATAAAGCTATCGTACTCGGCCATCGCAGACATACAAAAGGTAATAGTAATCATAGGCTTCTCGTCAGACCCTTACACCGTGCCGTAGGGGACCACTGCCATATTTACTGACTCTTTAACAGTTTTGACCTCTTGACAGATATCACCTGTACATGTACACTTGCCTTAGCTAAGCAAATTTATACAGCCATTAGAACGAAGGAACGTGAACTTTGGATTTTAAAATGCTAGAGTAACACCCTAAGAAACGATGGAAAGACAAGATCCAGGAGGACCTGCGGGCCCTGAGGTTATGGCCTGAAATGGCGCTGGACAAAGACAGTTTGAGACATGCAGTAGGACCTCCTCGGCAAGTGAAGCCAACTATAGGGAGGACCCGTCCAACCCCTGCTTCTAGGGAAAGTAGAACATAAAACTGAAGATGATGATGATGGAATAAGAGTGGCTCATTTAAATATGAAAGAAAACAAAGCACAAAGAGGGATCACAAACATCAAAAGCCAACTGTGTCTCTCTTAAAGAGACTGAAGACGGGAAAGCAAATAAATTGTGCTCATCAGACCAGTCAAGAGCAAGTGAACTTCAAGTCAAAAGATATTGAACCAAAAAACCTAAAGAAGAGTAATGATTAACTATCACAAGCACAGTTGTACATTTGTTTGAATTCCTCACCCTCTTTTCCGCGGTTGTCGAAATGTCAGAAAATTCGCAAGTCATGGACTGAACATAACTTGCAGTTTGGACTGTGCCATCATCTGATTTTTAAATCTGTTTTGCAGATTTCTTGACAATAGGAATACCGACAGTCAAGCGACACCAGAAGTCGTATCTTCAGGAGACTCTCAACTCTATCATTGAAAACACCAGCGTCGAACAGCGGGCATCCATCACCGTCATTATATTCGCAGCCAACTTTGACGAGGAACTGAACCACCGCCTCAAAGTTGACCTGGACTCCACCTACCGCAAGCATTTCAACTCAGGCTTCATGCAGCTCATCGCTGCCCCTCGCTCGTTTTATCCTTCCTTGGACAACCTGAAGCAAAACTTTGGCGACTCCAAAGAGCACGTGGCGTGGCGAGCCAAACAGGTCGTGGACTTTGCGTTCTTGTTCAGCTACTGCCAGGGTCTGTCCGAGTACTACCTTCAGCTGGAAGATGACGTCATCTCCTCACCAGACTTTGTCCAGTACATTAAAAATTACCTGGATACAGTGAAGCATAAAAAATGGGTAACACTGGAGTTTTCAGAGCTGGGTTTCATTGGTAAGCTCATTCAGTCGAGTGAGCTACCGCGACTGACACAGTTCATGCTCTTCTTTTACGAGGACCAACCAGTTGACTACTTGCAGCAATATTACAATCATTTGAATGCTCAGGAGGGTACATTTAGACATGCCCCTTCGTTGTTCCAGCATATTGGCACAAAGTCCTCCCTGACAAACAAGGAGCAGGAGCTGATGGACCGTTTCTTTGAGGACAGCGTCAGGAAATACAAGGGCGACAACCCGCCGGCCGTACTGTTCAGCAGCATGGAAGTCTTTGGCATGTACGTACCCCAGCTTGCCTACAGCTCCAAGCCTGGGTACTTCTGGGGTAAGACTCCCATCACGGGAGACTCCTTCCTGGTTACCTTCGAGTCGCCCGCCCAGCTTTCCAGAGTCATCATAGAAACAGGGTCGGAGAAAAACCCGGAGGATTACTTGCGGTCGGGAAAGCTTGAGGCTAGCCCGGTGGTGATCTCTCAAAGTTTAGATGGAACACCACGATGCGCGGATTATCGTTCCATCGGTATTTTTGCTGATGGGAAATTAGATGTCAGTAACTTAGAAACAAAGCTGGACTTCAGAACTAAGTGCATGCAGATTACTGTCACCAAAAGTCAACAGCAGTGGCTGTTAATCAAGGAGATAGCTGTATGGGTCCGCAAGTGATCAACCATACATGTAAAAAGGTATGTTAAGTTATTTCGTGATGCACAAATGGTGAAGCATCAATATCACATCCAACTATCCGGAAGCTCTTGTCTCATGTGTCATCACTAATCAAACTTCAAAGGGTCGCATGTTTTCATCTTCTGGGAATGCTGCCTCTAATCTCAGTACATCATTCTTTTGAATTCATATGAATGTAAATATTGTAGCAGAAGTTGCTGAGAGCCAACACAAATAGAGAACCGACGTGTGACGTCACTATGAACCAGAAAGTGCAGTGCAAACGAATGGAGTATGAACACATTTTGGTTCACGCGCTGGTTCTCGTGCTAATGCCTTCGGTACTCTATTGTGGATATTCCATCCCTTCCCAATGTCACTGATATATTTTGCGGTTATGCTACGTAGGCAAGCAGTCAAACATATACTGTTGTACATGTATTCCATTTACTTTTGCATGTCAGGGTTTCCCTCGCCTATTCAACTGTGAAGTAACCCACCTCACTGATTTTAGTGACCATAGAAGAAAAAGTAAAATAACTTAGATATTTTGAAATAGATCGGTTTGAAAACGCACAGAATGGTAAAGAGGGACACAGAGTACAAGATCGATTTACTTTAGAGGAAAAATTAGGAGTAAATGTACTACAAGCATTAGTAAAATTTGTAAAATTTATTTTAGGCCTTTTTGAAAACAATTGCCTTGGTTTCAGGCACTAGAATTTTGTTAAAAATTTGTTTGACCACCTCAGAAAGCAGTACTTTAGTGGAAAACCCATTACATGTATATGTATGTTTATCCGTAATCGGTGTGACGACCTTGAGAAACTCAGTTTTGGGGAAATGTGTACCTTTACTTTTTATTTTCATGAGCAAAGTGCTGGTGATGACCATTGTTGTCATATGTGGTGAGATCTCCGTGGTTGAGGTTTTTTCTTCCTGGAGAAGGGTCAGTTTAGAGTGTAGACCTTGAGATCCCTAGTGCCACTCAGTAAAAGTATAGAGAGAGGTACGTGTACCGCTATTTAGAACCCCGTCTTTATGCTCTCCACATTTTGAAAAGGCCATTTTTTTTTCAAAAGGTACCGATTTTTGGCATTATAAAAATGTACATTTGCATTGATGATTTAAGTTTGATGTTCATTGTTTAACTGGTTAGCAGCTGCAGTCACTTCCCATGGATTTGTGTAGTACTCCAAGCCTCAGTTGCCGCCTTAGGTACTAACAAGAAACTGTTGCATTGGATGACTGATGTAAAGTGTACACGTACATTGTATATATACATGTATGTAAAAAGCATTTATAAGTACTAATGTACCATACGGTCAGGGTGTGCATGTAGTGCGTGTGATTTCTGACTAACTTTTTCTGTCAAAGAGCAGGGATGTTTTTGTGAAGTTGAAGTGTTTGGATTTTTGGTTTCCTTTTTCTTTAAATAAGCGTGTTGAAACAGGTTAAAGAAATTTGTCATGCTATTGGAAGATGCCATTTGATGGATAATTATTATTTATTATCTTCAGGCAAACTTGAATTCTCAGTTCTGATTGGTCGATCCATGGCAACAAACAGTGAGGTCTGCCAAACCCCATGCTGTTCAAACTCCACGCACTGTGCACAACTGCAAACTTTAACCCTAAAAGCCCTGAATCCTCCAATTTTAATATGATTTTGCACACACCCTAGGGAGTTCGGATTACTGTAAATTCAAAGGTGAAGCATTTGCGCACATAGACCCCTATATAACATATTTACTGTGCGTCAAGTTTGCTTGAAGATAAATGTGTTAACACGCTCGTGCTTATGGAACAAAGGAATAATGTAGTCCACCTGTGTCTCCTATGGGCCTTGTGGTGCACAGAACACAGATAAACTGTGTTCCACTCACGGTCAATAAGAAATCATACCATTCAGCCAACATTCCATAAAGCCTGAGGCTCATGCTTTCATTTAATGTGCCTTTTATAAAGTACTAGATTCACATAAATAGTTTATGATATTATGATTTTCATGCCATAACAGGTTAATTATGTTTTGTAAAGGTATTGTAAAGTCAGTTACCAGTACTGTACTACTGGTAGTAGTATTGATTTAGGGATGTTTTCACACTATTCTTTAGCTCTAATGTATTCAAGCAAAGCGTATCTAAGGGAGAAAATTTGACCCTGCGCTTGACTACATGTATTCGCATGACCTTGAAATATATACATGTACATCTATATTGCAGATCAACATTCATTACATGACTTCATCCAAGCCCAGCTTTGTGGTAGTCTGTATTTCACCATTTTTTGTAAGATTGTCATCAGCAGCTTTCTTAACAGGACCATTGGACCCCTTTACAGTTCATGGTTTCATGTCTGGGTCTGAGACACACTCTCACTCAGTTGCATTTTTCTGTGCAATATTGACTTGACACTGTACCGGTACACCTGCTAGTGTATCCTGTATGTACATGTGTGAAAAGGAAGAGCTTGTACTGTAAGTTTGGAACAGTAAACTTCCAGCACAAACTCTTTCTTGTCATACTCTATCCAGTTTGTGACTTCATCATACACGCGAATACGCCACGATTTGCAGGCTCCCATTGGACGATAGTTGAAGTTGCGCATTAACTTCCGGTTCCATGTAAACGGCGATCAGTGCATGTCACTCTATGTGCAGTGCATGTGCTGTGGGCGTGGTTCAAACTGAAGTGACGTCACACTTACGAACTGGATACAGAGACTTGCATACATCTGGTAGGATGATGAGAAATATTAAATATTGACAATAAATGAATGTACACTGCAAAAATCAGGGTGTTACATTTAACACTGCCCCCAGTGTTATCAGAGGACCATGCCAAGACTTTTGGTTGTTCGAAAATGTGGGTGTTACTTTTGTTCATTGTAATACTTGTAGGCATGTAAAGTAACATCAGCAATGTTAAAGGGATTCATTTTTGTGTGGTCAGCTGAAACACCAAACAGTGTTGTTTTTAACACCAGAGTTTTTGCAGTGTTTAGATACCATTGTATTCTGTTATAATCCAATCAATCACGAGTCAAATATCCAGTAGTCCACCTGTCAGTTCACAAGTACATATAACAGGTTATAAACAGTGCCAGAAGATGGAAATGAAAGCCTTTGCATTACCGATCTGTTATGTGTACATGTACCAGTACCGTACTTGCGACTGGATGTATCCGGTTCGTAAGTTACTTCGTCACAATGGAGGATGCGCCATGATTTGCATACTCTCATTGGACAATTGCTGAAGTTGCGCGTTAACTTGTGGTTCTTTGATTCCATGTAAACGGTGATCAAAGCATGTAACCCTATGAGCAGTGCACGTGTGCAGTGGGCGTGGCTTAAACTGAAGTGACGTCACACTTATGAACCGGAGTGTGAATGACTACTGATTGACTTGGGATGATCTGTTATGACTCTCATATAATTGCAATTGATTATTGTAAGTTATGTTAGCTCTTTTTCTTCTCTGAATAAATCACTAAAGGAAGTTTTACAAGCAAGAATTTTGTGACTGTTTACTGGAATCGGATAATCTGTCTACAGACTTCTGAAGCTAGCACCCTGGCATGCACTCTCTAGACACATGTAAATCCATCAGGTAGTCTTTTAAAATACCTTTTCTTTTAAAAATAATGGATTGTAATTTCTTAAGAGATCCCTAATCGTAGCATATTTAGGTTTCATCTTTATAATACTGCCGATAGAATGCTGCATAATACAACCACAATTTAGCTGAGACGGAATAACAAAATCAGATGTACTGCATGTACAAGAAAATCTTTTGGCATTCAGTTAATTTGTGTGCATTGCAGCTCTGGGAAATTTTGGCTTGTGGACCGAATGACTAGCCATAACCTGACAAAAGAACTTATTTTTCACGTTTGAAAACCTGTTTTATCTCCATGCTGTACTAGTCCCATATAAGGCATCCATCAGTACTACCTGAGTGCCTTAACTGTTTGTGTTGGCAAGGAACTCGAAGGATTACTTTTGATTCTTTGTAGTTGTGGCACTTTGCCAACTGTCCTTGTCTCTCTCATCTGGGTCCGGTCCCTACGCAGAGTCTTCATTAGTGATTTCAGCATCTTCTCCTTGGAGATACTGATCTGGTATCGATCCTGAGTGAAAGCTGATGAGATCCGGTAAGGAGGAGGCGTGGTAGCTGTATCAAATGGATTCAGGGAGAGCTGGGATTTGGGAGCAGTCGCCTGTTTCCTTGGGCTGTCCCGGGATGACATCATGGTCTTTGAGAGCTTAGGAGCTACTAAGCTAGCGGCAGTGACTTCCAGTCCAGGAAAGGCTTCCTGCTGGTACTCTGCTGCCATCTGCCGATTGGCCTCCTCGACACACTGGGAGCAGGTTCTCTGACCCAGCACCTCGCAGTAGTGCAGATGGGAGTCTTTTTCTCGGTGGTTGCTCAGCGGTGGAGGCAGGATGTGCCGGTATCTCTGAGTGGTCAAGACCATCTTCCCGTTCAGGCCGTTGTGGACCCAGCGGTACTCCTGACTGATGTTGTTTGCTGTTTGTCGGCGGAGAATGGATCGACCTCTCCGGTGGCTGGCGCTGCCGCTGATGTGTGGTATGACAGGGAAGCCAGTGATTTCTCTCATGTAGCCCTGTTCCCTCCGGAGGTGGACATCAGTTGCCTCTCTGGTCAGGACATCACGATGGCCTGGTCGTGGTAGGCTTTAGAGAGATATTAAGGAAATATGTTAAAAATGGTTCTCGTGGCTACATTTTTCAAGGTCAAAATAGGTTTGGAAATAAGGAGAAACTTTTTAAAAGCGTTGTTTTCTTCATTTTACTATTTTTATTTGCTGTTCAAGAAAACCTTTCATTCTAAGTAGCTGTCGACACAGGGCAATTTTAAAAAATGGTATCCTTTAGCTGAATAGTTTCATCTGAACGAGAAGTATGAAATTTCCTGCCCAACAACCCACCTGTTGGAGTTTTTCTTCTTGGCGTAGATGCTGTGCGAGTCGAACCAATTCTCTCGCCGCTGTTGCTGGCTCAGGAACTGCCAGGATTTGGGGATTTTGACCGTGGCTGGTTTGCGCGAGTAGAAGGGGAGCTCAGGGAGGCTTGAACGCCCAAGGGATTCACGACTTGAAGACAACATCGTGCCTAGGCAATGGAACATACACAACAAATTTACATACAACCAGGTCTTCGGCTAGAATTTCTAAGATCAAGTTTATGTCTCACGTGGCAAACGTGAAAGGCTTCTTCATGTAACAACTTAGTTTGGACATGGAGGAAGGAAAATTCCTCCATGGTTTTGGAAAAGCAAAATTCAAACCTCATGGATCTGTTTATTTGTAATTACCAGGAAATATGCCTCTCAAACAATTGGGATGTACTATCGATCTGTTGAGTTCCAAAATGTGTTATTTTGGGGGATTTTATACATAAACCTTGTGCGAAAGATTCGGACCCACAGTTATTGCGATTGGATTTGTGTTGCAGATCGTTTTATCAGTAAGTAAATTAATTTTGGTGTATCATCACTTTACCAACCGTGGAGTATTTTCATACAGATGATATTCTTTATTATCATGGTACCCACTAACAATATGAAATCCGTTGACTTTGCTTTAACTAAGCACAACACAAAGGGGCTTGTGTGCCTATAAATACACTTTCAGCGCTAGCAAACAGACCTGTGGCACAATGGCTATTGATCCAACAACAGCCGTAAACTGTTGACATGATTAGTGCGTGCTGACGGGGGAAGATGGCTATAATAAACGGTCACCCTGGTGCCCATTGATCGAATTGATCAGAGCGTATCAATCATGGCGGAATGGTTGAAAACGACAGAATTGTGGTTGTGTATGCGTACGGGCCTGGGCCATTAGGAACAACATGATCATTGTGTTCATCTGACAAAGACCCATCGAACCTACTAAAACTCACCTAAATTTTATACATTTTAGATCAATGTGGTGATGCCTTATCTGGAAGAAATTTGAATGTGTGGTGAGCCTTTGACGTCGGCGATATAAACCATTATAGGTATACATGTTAAGGCATAATAAACAACTTTAAAATGTGCCAAACAAAATAATTTGCGGAAAGAAAGATTAATTTTAACAATATAGTAAGCCTTTATTTTAAGTGAATTTGAGGTATTAAAACATTAAAACGATTGCATATCGATAAATCCATGCTATTTTTTGTAACACAAATTCATCCAACTGAACCCGTCGAAGTCAGTATCATTGCAAAAACTCAGTACAAGAGCTGGCCAAATGAATTCTTTAGTAAATTTACCAGTAAACTTCATAGCAATATATCGAGCTTTTGACAAGGTCGTTAATATAGGATTTTTTAAGTGTGGAGCACAACTCGTTTGAGTGAAATTTATTTTGCGCTAGCGGGATCACCAGTTAAAGAATTGCTGGCAAATGGTTTCGTTCTACTCTCTTCCTCCGTATGCTCGACACAGGACCAGTGAACCACTGCAGTGACCGAACGGAGGGTCATAGTTTGGCCTTTGGTCTGCATTGTCACGTTGCAGATGGAAATTCCTGATTTCAGGAATGTGAGGTTTGTTTTCTTTGGAAAATCTTTGGGCGAAATCTAGCGCAAGTGCATATCGAACTCATACTAATGAGCGGAAAGCCCCAAATCTGAAAAACGTAATGTAAAACACATGTTGTACCCCTCCCTGAATTTCAAAATGTAGATAATTTTTTAAACCAATTCAACGTTTTATATTCTTATCTACTTTCATTTTTAACAAGGGTAAAACAGTTCAGTTCACCTACAAACTACTTTCTCGAGGAACTATCAAAAATAAACACACAGAGGCACAGACATAAATCAGTTTACAAAACGCAGAGTAAAAGTGAAAATGTCAAAATTTTGCAGGAACAAAATCAATCAAGACGGGTAAGTTCGAAGTTTTACACTGGATGTACCAAATACATTACCAGAAAAATGATTGAGTGTGTTGCTGTTTTCGTAGGAGACTAGAGCCTTTTAGAAGCGAAATACATACCGGATCAGTGTGTTGGTATTACCAGGATGGTTGATTTATGAGCAGTCATTTCTCTTTGTGGCGTGCGTGGGGAGTTCGATGTGCGGAGTCTTGCACGTTATAATCGTAAAATGGCTCAAGCTTTTCCTACGCCGTGTTTTGCCTCACAGAATCCTTCCTGTGCGTAACCAGTCATCAAGAGTGCCCCTCTGCAGTACTGTCTTTGTTTATCCGGAATGAAGTCGACCCAGCAGGATTTCCCAATTCATTTTGGAGACACCTGAAGCGTGCACATTGCGGGTCGGGCCGGTGCAGTCGTCGGTTGCTATGCGGAGAGTTCAGGCTGGGATCAGCTGCAAGTAGTGTGTGAGTCAGTGCTGTAGGTTGATCGATATTAACCCCAGTCCTCTGCAGGGGATAATGCACCGAGGGGTGTGCTTAGCGCCACCCGGGTTGAGACACGGGTAATGATAGTCCATTCAAGTACATGTACTCCGAGATTTTCCTCGTAAAGTTTCTCTTTCAAATGGTGCAAAATCACGGCCGTTATTGCAGAATGCATATCTGTTTCGAAAATTCAGCATTTGTGAAAACCCAAATTCCAAAGTTGTTGTATGCATTATTTTCCCTTTTCTTTCTTTTGTTCCGGGGGGGGTCTAGTTCCTCCCCTAGTGTTTACTACGGAAATCTAAAAATGAAATATTAGTCAAATTTCAGATAATAAGTGATTTGAACGAATTTTTGTCTCTCCTTCTTTTGTCTTGCTGCCACCTTTTCTGTGTCAGAGAGAGGGATGAGGAAATTTGGCATGGCTTTCACTTGGGTTTGATTTGGAGGAATGCTATAAAAAGCCAACACGCCTGCAAAGTGGCAACACCATATAGCCTTGGGAGGTTTTGGGACAGAGTATGCCGTGAGTTAGTTGACAGTGTTACGCACGGCTTGTTTACATTTGAATTTGGCTGTTTGCTGAATTCTTTGATGAACCGTTGGTATTTAACCTCTGGTAATACGATAGCTAAAGGTGTCAACTTCAGTTATTTTTAAGTCGGTGACATGAAACAACCGCAATAAACGTCTGAGACGACGATGTCCATTATTAGGAGCAATGTGCATGGTTGGCTTCTTTGTTTGCCTTTCACAAAGATCCATCTTTCTCGTTTTAAGCGTCTTCACGCGATTATCCAAGTTTTTGATTTGTTTCTGTTTTTTTTATTCTGGCATTCTCAGCTTTATAACTCAATCACAAGGCCAACACAGTTTTCAGTAAAAAAAAATTATTTTGGCCGATGGCAGTCATTCAAGACAAAGTACTTTATATACCTTGTAACTGAATAAAATACTTTAAATTTTGCTTTTTTGGACAAAAGGGAATTTGGAATACAGTGATGTGTGAGCTACTAGTGGAGTTGCGTAGGTAACCGATGCCACTAATTAGGCCTTTCATCTACTGTTGAGTTGCTGTTGCGGTGTTTATAAATAGCAGCCTCTTACCTGAGACGACGTGTTCATTCAATGGGATGACAACTTCCCCTTTGATTATGAAAACCAAAAACAGTCTCCCAAAGGCGAGCACTAAAACCTTGCCGCAATGTTTGCATGCGTCCCGTGGAATTTAACAAGTTAATTCTCAGACAGGAGCGATGTGTACCGAGCGCTTTGGTGAGACATTACTGGGACTTTGAGTCAATATTGCCTTAAGAGATTGAGAGAGGCAGGTTGTCGGAGGGAAGATGTTCGCAGATTTGTTATTTTGCCCTTAGTTACGATCAGGCCGATCCTTGAAGGAAAGCACGTATTCTACGTAGTAGGGGGAGTGTGTTGACGTTGTAGGTTTTTGATTGAACTGTTGTCAGAACGTGTGATGCATTTTGGCTGAAAGATTTAGACATGACTCGATGGGAGGCATTGTAATCTCTGAAAGACGACGGGTGGCAGAACAACAAAGATCAACCCTGAATCCATGATTAGTCAGGGTGGATCACTCTAGTTGCAGAAACATGTACTTCGTCCCTGTACCCGTGAAACTAATCTAGAGGAGGGAGATGAACGACCATCAAGGTTGGATTTAGAGGTGACAGAAGGCACAACAATGATAGACTAACGTGGAAAGTGCTGTCAAGTTGTCGGCTGCTTATAAAAGTCTTTTTATGACGAGCATTATTGGCAGTGATTGGCAGCGGCTGACGAAGGGGATTCTGTTGTGTGTTTTGCCTCATCGTGCTGCGTCATTAGCACGTCGAATCGAAAGGCAAATTGTTGAGATGTACTGAAACTTTGTCTGGAGTTGAGCCGATACCAGGAACGGAGCAGATTGAAGTGGCAGCGATTGCTTGAACGCATTGGATGTGACTCGATATTCTGGAAGCCTTTCTCAATTTGTTACTCAAACTGTCTTCGGTGCCATGCAGTATTTGCGTCAGGGTGAGTCCCGTGTGGACACTGGCCGTGTCTTGACTAATGGCATCAAGGGTGTGGATTTTAAGGTCAAAGATTCCAGTCCTCGTGGTGATATCAACAGTACCCATCACGTGATGCCTGTTGTTGGGAGTATCAAGACACAGACTGAAATCACTTCCGATGAAAACCCGCATGGAAGGGTTCCGGTTTGCAACAAACCTAGGCTGACACGGCCAGGCTTCAAAGCATCGCAGATGAGAGTTCAAGTTGATGGGAAGTGGAATTATTTGCGGAGAGGTGGGAAAGAAGGGGTAGACTCTTGCACTGGTACTGCGTTAGTAGGAGCTCGTACTCCCAGAGTCGTCTACTATCCAACTATCGTGACGCATAAGCCCATGACTCCGCACGACGAGAGGGGTAAAGGCATGCTACGACGGCATGAAGCCAAATCTCCTCGGAAACTGGAGAATGCAGCTACGGAAACACCCACGTCGGTCATCAGACAGCATGATGACATCAAACCCAGTTCTGCTTTGATCCAACCAGCGACGCTTGACGGAGATGACGCTCGCCGAAAATTGAACACTGTTTTCTCTCATAGTCCGCCGAAATCGAGAGATCCTTCAGAAAACATTCAACGAATGGATAGACGCAACAGTGAAGGCGGTCCAAATGGGAGTGAAATGCAACAGACAAAGAGCCTGTCGAAATTTACAGAAAATGGACGAAATAGCCCAGACAACAATCCGAAAAGATACAGAAACGAAATGCAGATAAATCGGCAAGAAAATGAAGTTGAATCTGAGCAAGACTGCAGAGGGGGACAGATCCCTGCAAGCGCATTACCGGACAAGGATGGTGAGGGTGGTCTGGTCAAACAGCCTACTGAATTCACAGACGATATGTCTCATTATTCCTTTATGGAGGCATCTCTGAGGAACATCGCTGAGACCCGCAACGCCATGTCTAAAGCCCGCCAACGACTCGACCGATCAGTGTCAGTGGATTACGGGAGACCAAACACTGTGCCTAGCTTCCCAACTGTTATCGCTGCTACCAACGAAAGGAAAGATGTGAACAAGCCAGCTGACAAAAAAGAGGAGCAAGGAAAAGACGTTGGGACTACGAGGCGGCGATCGCAGAGCGTCAGCGACATTCAGACAAGCGGGACTGGACGATTAAATCAGCCAGCCAGAATTGCTTCATGGAGACCGTCTGAAGCTTTGTCTACCCGGGGTCAGGGTATCCCAAGTGGAAAGGTAGATGAACCAGTCAAAGAAAAGAACAGCCTTGGAGTTGAATCGACGGGAGAGTTACCACTGCTCACGGGCAAAAACCAGTACGTGTATTTTAAGCCTGGCGTGGTTTTCTTCGAAGGCGATTCGGCAAATCTTTATTACAACTCGCTGTTCAGACTAGTCAGAAGATCTGTTGGTTCTGTCTACAAACATAATGAAGACAAGATAGACAACTGATGCAACCAATTTTTAATTTAATATTTTATTAGTATTTTTTCAGCATACTATTACCAACAAGACAGTGGCGTAACGATCGGGGAGGCCCTAGCACCTTCTGCAGAGGTCATTGGCCCGGGTGAACCCATCATTTGAAATCTTGAAATGTACTCAAGCTGCTGTTCATTCGCTTCGGTGTCCCCCGAAATAATGTGTGTATCGCCAAATTCCACCGCAGCCACGCCACTGCAGCGAGGCACTACACTAACACGGTGTATTTTGTACTACACTTTCAATACCGTAGATAACACGGTGTATTTTGTACTACACTTTTTAATACCGTAGATCTAGAATACACTCTAGGCACTTACTATGCTACAAAGCACCCCTTGCTTCGTATGCGGACGGAACAATTAATTAAATTCAAACTCAGTTGCGTTGACTTGGATTATTTTAATTTTAGGACTGCCTTTGAATTTCAACTTGCTCTCACTTGATGAAAAAAGCTGTGCAAGACGGTTGACAGGCCGCATACGCGACATCATAGTCCTTGCGGGAACAGTTAAAGTTACACAACCTGTTTATATGATAAAGAATCACCTATCACGTATTTAACCTCATAGTTATTGTAAAATCGGGCTTCTATAATGGCATTTTTTGCTAGACAAATTAACAGGCGGTCATGGGCATAGAAAGTGTGCAGATGAACGTGGAGCGTGCTCGTTATGTTTTCTTGGAATGTGTGGCTGTTATAAATTTTATACAAAACAAGCACCAAGCAAATTTACTTAAATATCGTATACACAACATGAAGTGTAAATTCGATGCATTCTGACTTTTGGACTGTTTAAGTCATACGCACAACAAGTTTTCAAAATTACTTCATTTTGTATTCATAATAAACACTTTTCAGGCTATCTTTTGCAACATTCACAAACATTCATCGCTTCATATCTACCTCAATGATTTGTTTCTATTCGCTATTGGTAGTGGAAACCTGAAAATAATACCCTTCATGACCTGCGGCAGGTCAGACAAAACAGATTTCTTTTGCTTTGACCTTCTGACGGCCTAATTTGAAACGCCCCGTGGGATCTAGTCTCTACTTTTGAAACCTTGCCAAAGGCGTCACCAGAAATTTTCCTAAGGGGGAGAGGGCAAAGTACTTTTTGGGGGGAGGGGGCATTTAAGAAGGGAAAACACTTATCAGCAACGAATTGATAAGCAGTGACACGGGATAAATTTAACAAAAGCAAATTGGTGATTTCCAGCTTTTCATTTCTTTCTCAAACTTTCCCCTGTTCCCTGTTCATTTTTCGATGGGGTGCGGGACAAGCGCCCCCCACGACGGTCCACGGTCCATGGCGCTGAAACGTACTGTAGATGAGGTTTCCGGTGCGCGGTGTAGAAAAGGGGGAAATGATTCTCTTTCTCTGGGGAGACTCCTCCACAAAATAAATAAAGGAGCGTAAAACTATGCTGAATCCAACTTAGGGGGAGTTATATGCCAGCGAGGGATTGTGTGTGTGTGGGGGGGGGGATAGGTGGACGATGTTCATGATGCAGATGCATATATACATGTAATACACTCTTACAGAACCTTAAACTGAGTATTAATGGCTGTTTGTTCTCCCTTTATGAATGCCGTCGAATACATTTGTCATTTTTGTTGTTGGAAAATCCGACAAATTCTCAACAATTCTCCTATTTTTTTCTCACCGCAAAAAGGGGGTGGTGGTGATTTAATAGCCCACCCCTAAAAGGTGTGTGTGGGTGCGCTTGTACATGGGTGTGTGTGGGGGGTATATCTCCGTCCCGGGATTGACGCCCATTGATAAGTACCCGTACCCCAGTTAAGGAATTTATGTGTTAAATTCGAAACGTCCCGGATGTTGT